ATTAATGCCATCACATAAATGATCAATACACATCACAAAAATTACAAGAACACACACACAAATGATTCTACGATTTTTCCATAAGAAATTGATTCATGATAAACATTTTCCAATACAAAGTTCCCACAAAGTATTTATCCAACAGAAAGCACTCAATTAATTTTCACAAAACAAATCTATGTATATCTATATATATATTTGCGTATATATGTATAGATCAATGTCGGATCTGAAGATGGGCATTTGAACAAGTAGAGATAGAGATGAGAGCAGCGACAAAGATGGCAGACGTGATAACCTCCTCGACCATTTTCCAACTAAGAGAAAGAGACAGAGAGAGAAGACAAACGGGAAAAGTGGGGCTTAGGATTTTTGTTGCTAATGAGGTTCGATGTGTGGACCTCATGAAAGCCCCACTCACACCGCGCATGTTTCCAGTTTTTCCTATTTTTGGAATATCATTTCTTTTCTTTTCTTTTTTTTTTTAAAAACAGAGTTGCTAAAAAAAGTAGAAACACATTTTTATTTTGGAAAAAATTAAAAACAAAAACAAAAACAAAAAAAAAATAGAAACAACGCGTACCAAACACAATCTATGTCATTACTGTCTCATGATAGCCACAATTTAATAAAAAATAATTAAATAAAAAAATGGACATCACTTTATTACATGAAAGGAGACCTAATGTAGGAATTGTCGAAAAAATAGTTATGAAAAATAAATTAAAATGAGACTCACACATTGAAATTAGTGGGACCATGATTTAATTATTTGTTAAGAACCATTAATATTTGAATGCAAAGTTATATTCCAAAAATTATCAATTTGTTTTGATATAATAGACTGAATTTTTGAATTTGTAATTGGATAAAAAATTATATCAGATCGGAACGGTGGATAAAACAAGCAGCAAAGCCCACAGATGAAGCCCAAGGTTTTTGGCGCCTTGCTTTGCATTGTGTCTTGGCGCCTTGGCAAGTGAGGCCCAAGGCCTTGGCGCCCTATCTCGTGGTCGTTTAGCCTCATCTCGCCTTGCAATCTGTTCGTTTGCCTTCTGATGCCTGACATAATTGTCTTTTAAATTAATTTTTAAAATACACATCACGTAATTGTTGTCGTCTAGAGTGTGTCTCTGAATATGTGCGACGAACAATGAAGTCTCTTGCTTGTTCAGTTTAATTGAACAGATGCACGGAGTCTATAAAAGGGCGACCGCTATTGTCACTTTGAAACACTAAAATTCAAGAATAATTCTTTTGTCTTTCATACTTCTCTCCCTCTACATACATATTGTTGCATTGTTGTTCTTCTTAGTTAGTTCAAGTGCAAGGCACAAAATTGTGTTCGCTGGAATCTTAGAGATTGGAGTGATGCTTCTCTAAGAGAGAGCAAATTTGTCTTAAGGAGACCGTGACTACAGGGTTCAGATTTATTTTGATATCGCAGTTGCTGCTCTGCGTCTATTTGAGTGTATTATTTGTTTTAAACAGTAAACTTTTTGTTTTAGATTTGCAACAGTTATTAAATTTTCTAATTTTAATTATATACACATTATTTTGGATAACAGGAACCACTTGTCTACTTATTATATGGAACCACTTGTCTACTTATTATATGCTTATTGGATTGTGACATTACAATGATGATGAATATCAATACTAGCAATAAGTAATGCCTAAAGGTAAGTAACACAAATATATCGAGTATCAATCATGTAATATAAATATATAAAATAACAATTTATTTTTTCTTCTTTTTATATAATTGCGGAATTGAAAATTAATTTTGTCCCATTATTTAAAAACAAAATTGGGAAAGAGAAGAAAGAGATCATAGGAGAAATCTTTGTTTGGTCTTGGTTAGCGTAAATTGTATGGTGGGTATAATTTCAAATGTTGGAGGGAATTGGTCTTAATTAGTGTGAATTTTTTTTTTGGGGTGCGGGG